GGGTGTGTGCCCACCAGTGCTCCCAGTGCAGGCTCTGTCCCTTGGCCCCGGCACTGGAACAGTGGCCAAGGCCACTCCTGTCCTGGTGCCGTGTTGTTCTCCCTCTTCCAGAAAACAAAACCAAGGAGCCCTGAAGGGTTCATTTAAAATAAATAAAAAACTGGGAATTGTGCTGATTTGAGGGAAAGGCAGCCCCATCCTGAGCGGGGGAGCGCAGTGCCAGCCCGGCCCCGAAGGGCAGAGAGAGATGTGCTGAGAACTGCAGCCCTGTGCAACTTCAGCCTTTGATCGTATATCTCACACGTGCCCTTTGCTTTCCCTCTGCTGATATTTATTAGGTTTAATTTTACTGGGACACGGCTGTAAGTGAGACAGATGGAATGGGGTCTGTGCGCCTGGTGAACACATCTTAATTAAACAGATAAATAAACTTTCCTTCCAGGAGGCTTCAGTTTCGGAGGGGCTCCTCGGGGGCTGCGGCTCTGCGGGGCGGGCACAGCCCTGGTGCCACCACTGCTGGCTGGCACTGTGGCACGGCGTCACCGGGAGCAGCAGGGTGAGGTGGTGCCAGCAAGGTGTCCCTCTGAGCTGACAGGGTGCCACCCTGCCCATCAGTGTCCCCGCTGCAGAGGGACATCTCTGCGGCCGGGCACGCCTCGGGGATGGCAGGAGAAGGGGGAGAGGAGACTCCAGCTCTCCTCAGCTCCCAGAGCTGTGCCCGTTGTGCTGCTGGCTCAGGGCAGTGCCAGCACGGCCAGGAATGCCTTTGAGTCACCCTGGCCGGAGCGGCGCGGGGGAGGATGGGCACATTACCTCATCCTGGAGCCGCTCCTGCCTCACGTGGTGCGCTTGGTTGGGCACCGCAAGGCCTCCGTGCCAGGCATGCCCTGCCGTTGTCACCTCCAGAGCTGCAGCGCAGCCAGAGCGGCCCAGGCCCTTTGGAGCTGCCTGCTCGGGGTGCCCCTGCCCTGCACGGGGTCTGGGGGGGTTCCTGGGGGAGCCCCTCTCCCCTCAGCTGCACCAAGGGCTGTGCAGGGACACATTTGTCCTTTCAGAGCTGTCCCACATCCTTCCCTGGTGCTGGAGCGCACAGAGGGCATGGCATGGGAGGGAAGGGAAGCTGGGCACCAGCAGGAGAGTGAGGTGTGAGCATCACGGTATGCCAACAGGGCCATGGCATCTGCCCTGGTCCTTGGAGCTGGAGGGGGGGGAGCAGCTGTGGTGGGCACCCACGGGGAGCAGTGCCTGGGGGTGCTGTTGGCAGCAGATGTCACTGCTGGACCTTTTTGGTGCCCGGTTCCACAGGGTGGTGGTGGTGACAAAGCCTCCCCCGGGCCTGGCATCCCCTCCCCAGTCTGGGTCCCTGCAGTCCCCTTGGAGTGCATTCCCCCAGTGTCAGGGCCTGCTGGGAGGGACTGGCACCCCCTTGGCCCCACACACGTCTTTCTCAGGGTGGCTCTTGCAGAGCTGCTTGCAGCAGGCTCTCCCCGTGCCTCCGGGCCAGCCGTGCCACACACGCTGCCGCTCTGGAGTGTCTGCAGCAGGAGCCGTAGCACTGCGAGTGTACCAGGACACTGCAGCATGTCACTGTGCCTGGGGATACTGTGGAAAATCCCAGCTCCAAACGGCTGGTCGTGTGCTGGAGGCTCCGGCAGGGACGGAGCATCAGCAGCTGCTGGCACAGCCCTGCCTTTGTGCATCCCATTTGGCCGAGACGGANTGAGGAGCTGCTGGGGCTCCCTGGGCCATCCCTGCCCCTGCAAGGGCACAGAACAAGCAGGGTGTGGGGATGCTCAGCTCTGGCAGAGTGTGGCTGCAGGAGGATGAAGCACTGACAGGCTGTGCTGGAGCCAAGTGCTCATGGCTGAACCTGCCGCCCCCAGCTCGCTGCTGATTCAGCGCTTTTGCTCTCCTCTGCGCAGAGATTTCATCTCTCCTGTGAGATAAAGCACTCCGTGAACGGAGAGCTGCCTGCTCGGAGCTGCCCGGGCAGGAGGGGCTGCGCTGCCCTGCTGGGGTGTCCATGCTGGGCACGCTCCCCGCAGCTCCTGTGCCTGAGGGGTGCCATGGAGGCTGTGCCAGGGATGCCAGAGGGATGCCAGGAGTGCCAGGCTCCTCCAGCAGTGCCCGCTGTGCCAGCGGGTGCCCCT